GCAACTTCATGTAGGCACCACCACATTCCAGGCCATCTATAATACGGAGCGCATGTCAGTACAACCATGGTCATTTCAGCAGACGCGAAAGCAACGAGAAGACCGAAAGCAAAGGGATGACTTACTCTGAAGCTTGACCTCATACTGGGCAACAAAGGTCTTGCCCTTGTTGTCGATCTTGGAGGGGAACTTGGCCGAGATGGCGTGGTGAGCGGCAGGGTTCTTGACAACAAGTCCCTTGTCACCGTTGATACCCTTATACGCGACGGGCTCCTCAACAGCCCACTCGCCAACATATGCCCATTCCTCCTCTTCCTTGTCGGAGCCAGTCGTGTCCTTCTTGGCAGTGGATGGCTTCCACCGCTTGTCCCAACCATCGGTGAACTGCTCGAGGAAATCGGCCTTGAGGGTGGTAGGCTAATCAAGTACAAGGTCAGCGCTCAATGGCGACACAACACGAGGGCGGAAGAGACGGGAATGGAAGCTGCAAGGTTGCCTGCGGGGGGTCGGAGGGGGTGGAGCGGTGTGAAGACATACAGTGAAGTTGGGCAGCTCGGGAGCTGAAGCAGTGCTCTCCTCAACCTCCTCGTGAGCCATCACGCCGGAGAGCATGGCCGCCGACAAGGCGGCGGAAGCAGCGTTGAACTTCATGATGATCAAGCTGTTTTGTGAGCTTTTGGTAGTGTAGACCCTGGAGAAAACAGGCGCAGTTCACAATCAAGTGACTGGGTGGGAATGAATGTGAATGTTGTCAAATACCAATTGGGATAGCCCAGCGCTTGAGGATTGATGATTCCCTAGGGAGAGAAGTTGGAGGAAGGAATGTTGGAGCGAGGCGGAAGCTTTAACTTTCGCCTGGAACTCGAGAGTGGAGACCGAGCCTCGCTTTAAGGACACGTAGAAGCTGATGGGGTGGTAAATGTGGCTGCTTAGGTGCTCAAAGCCTAGAAGAGCTACTACCGAGTGCGCTGAGTGCGGGGACGGCAATTGGCGCGCCACATGGGTTTGCCAGAATGGGCAGGCCGCAAGCCACAACGCCCTCAGGTACCACGTTGGCCGCAGCCTGCAGGTGATGGAACACGCTACACGGGCTCATGCTGAACGAGAGAACCCTAGCTGCTTGGCTAAAAGGACACAGTATACCCGTGCTACGATGCAGACACCGGTGTCCCGTTACTCTGGATGCGGAGATCGTAAGTTCAACACCCCATTCATGCAGGCAGCACATGACAACTCCCGTATCCTTTGTTCAATGGCTTGGTTTGGAAGCCGACTAATCTGCCAACTGGTGGAAATAAAAAGTGGTACACACAAAGACGCTCCCAGCTGAGAAGTTATGGATCCAGTATTTTTGGGTTGACAAGAGCAATCACAATACTAAGTGAATAAGAAATCCTTGTATGATACTTATGTTGATAATATGTTTATCAGGTTACTTGTTCAGAATAATATATCGAAATGCAAGGTCGATGGTCTTAGTGTGCCGTATTTTATTCCATTGTCTAATTACGTCTCTTGACTTTTTGCTACCGCCCATAGACTGGTCCTTCTGATATTCCCCAAGCAACACCACATTTGGGGTGTACCCACCCGGGATGATGATTAATAATATACCATGTCCGTGTCTTCGACCTCATGACTTTTGCAGGGTCGCCTGAGGAAAGTTAAGAGAGAAGTGGTGTCAACAGGGTAGGTTCATACTATCAGAGCTAAAGTAAAGGTTGGCGCTAGCTCCAATGGACGGGCACCCGGATAACGAGGGGAGATGGAAGGGTCGTGTCTGTGAGAGATCATGGTTCCTCCGCACCAGATCTAAGGCAAACAAACTCAAGCACAGGAATCACCATACTGGCTTATACGAGATGAGACATGGGCAACTAAGTTGTAGACAAAATTCGTATTGCCCAAGGCATAGCTGAGCTTTCTCAAACTATCCATTGGCTGAGCAATTGAGCTTGCGAGAGCCCGTCAACCTACTGACCACGCCCTAAAGAAAGTATTCGACACTGCATCAAAGCTTCCATCGTAGCCGACCAAGAAGAGGTCGATTAATCGCGGCAAGACTGAGGTAGGCGACGAAGTTGGCTGCAGAACACCCGAAGACATGTGCGGGTGCTTAGGTAATCTCGTTTCCTGCTATGCCGATGGTAATAAGCTCCCCATGATTGGCCAGATGAGCCGAGGAGCCGACTCCCCGATCCCGAACCTCGATCCTGTCCAGCAGAATCGACGTCAAACACTCTGATTCTGACAATCCGGTCGCCGTCGACAACGAAGCAACTTTGGATGTAACTTGTTGGTCATCCCAATCTATTGCTGAAAATGGCTTCCTCCATGGCATTGAGGCGTTTCGCCTCTGGATCTTCGGTGAGTCTCAGTTTGTGCGCCCTGTGCTCGAAATCTTTCCCCGGCCTGCAAATTGTTGTTCGTTCGCCATACTGACCGCACCAGTTTGCGCGGTCTACACAGAGCCAGTTCCGGGCATTCTCGTCAACGAGACTTAACGGTAAACTCACCTCCCCCAGGCCAATGCGTGCCATGGCCTGCCCAACGAGCTAATCGCCAATTTTCTTGCAGCCCGCGTGATCGCGAACAACCCTCTCCGGGCCAAAGAGGCTTCTCCTTTCGTGAGCAACAAGTACCCCGTCATTGTACGTTCACCCGCTCCTCCACGCCGAATCCCAGGATCAGTGCTAAATTGGCTGTGACAGGACCACGAGTACGATGCCCTTGTTGTCGGTGCCGGTGGCGCCGGTCTCCGTGCTGCTTTCGGTTTGGCTGAGGCCGGGTTCAACACAGCCTGCATCTCCAAGCTCTTCCCCACGAGAAGTCATACCGTCGCCGCTCAGGGTGGTATCAATGCCGCCCTAGGAAACATGCACGAGGACGATTGGCGATGGCACATGTATGATACCGTCAAGGGCTCTGACTGGCTCGGTGACCAAGACGCCATCCACTACATGACACGTGAGGCTCCTGCCTCTATTATCGAGCTTGAGCACTATGGCTGTCCCTTCTCTCGAACTGAGGATGGCAAGATGTAAGTTAGGAAATGAGAACTGCGGGAAATGTTACCTTGACATGCTGACCATTTCGGCCTAGCTACCAGCGTGCTTTCGGTGGTCAGTCTCAGAAGTTCGGCAAGGGTGGCCAGGCCTACCGATGCTGCGCTGCCGCTGACCGAACTGGCCATGCTCTTCTTCACACTCTCTACGGTCAATCGCTTGCCCACAACACCAACTACTTCATCGAGTACTTCGCCCTCGACCTGATTATGCAGGATGGTGAGTGCCGTGGTGTCCTGGCTTATAACCAGGAGGACGGCACTCTTCACCGATTCCTGGCTAACCACACCGTCCTCGCCACCGGTGGTTACGGCCGAGCCTACTTCAGCTGCACTTCTGCCCACACCTGTACTGGTGACGGTATGGCCATGGTTGCCCGTGCTGGTCTTCCTAACCAGGATCTTGAATTCGTCCAGTTCCACCCCACTGGTATCTACGGTGCTGGTTGCCTGATCACTGAGGGTGCTCGTGGTGAGGGTGGTTATCTCCTCAACTCCGAGGGTGAGCGTTTCATGGAGCGTTACGCCCCTACCGCCAAGGATCTCGCTTCCCGTGACGTCGTTTCCCGATCCATGACCATGGAGATCCGTGACGGCCGTGGTGTTGGTGCTGAGAAGGATCACATCTTCCTCCAGCTCAGCCACTTGCCCGCTGAGATTTTGGCTGAGCGTCTGCCTGGTATCTCTGAGACTGCCGGTATTTTCGCTGGTGTCGATGTACGCAAGCAGCCCATCCCCGTCCTGCCCACTGTCCACTACAACATGGGCGGTATCCCTACTCGCTACACTGGTGAGGTTCTCACCGTTGACGAGAACGGCGAGGACAAGGTTGTCCCTGGTCTGTTCGCCTGCGGAGAGGCTGCTTGCGTGTCTGTCCACGGTGCTAACCGTCTGGGTGCCAACTCTCTTCTGGATCTCGTCGTCTTCGGTCGTGCCGTCTCTCACACCATCCGTGACAACTTCAACCCTGGTGACAAGCTGAAGCCTCTTGCTGCTGACGCTGGTGCCGATCACATCGAGGTCCTCGACAAGGTCCGCACTTCAGATGGTCCCCGATCCACTGCCGAGGTCCGTCTGGCGATGCAGAAGGCCATGCAGACTGAGGTCAGCGTTTTCCGAACCCAGGAGAGCTTGGACGAGGGTGTTCGCAAGATGACTGAGATCGATGCCCTCTTCCCCGAGGTTGGTATCAAGGACCGCAGCATGATCTGGAACACTGATCTGGTTGAGACCCTCGAGCTCCGCAACCTGTTGACCTGCGCGTGAGTCTTGCTACCTTTTACCCCTCAAACATCAAAGGTGATTTCATATTAACCGACTATAGTACCCAAACCGCTACTTCCGCTGCCAACCGCAAGGAGTCCCGCGGTGCCCACGCCCGTGAGGACTACCCCGACCGTGACGACGAGAACTGGATGAAGCACACTCTGTCCTTCCAGAAGCAGCCCCACGGCAAGGTTGACCTCTCATACCGCCGTGTCATCTCCACCACCCTGGACGAGAACGAGTGCAAGCCCGTGCCACCCTTCAAACGTGTATACTAAGCCATCAATTCTGTTCATTTTTTGTTTCATAGATGTGTGTCAACAAGGAAAAGTGTCAGCTATCGGGATGAAGCCGAGGTGGGAGAGAGGAAAAGATCAATGTTGGGTCTCAATCGTAAACTAACCAGCCAGGCCGCCGCTCTACCTGTACAAACTGAGAAGGCCCGGGTCTGGGGTAATGCAACATGAATCTGAAAGCGAACAAACACAAAAATACAAAAAAAGAATCGAAATTCAAGCTCTCAGTTGCTCTATCTTGTGATGTCTCAAGAGCCTTTACCCTAGACTTGACCAGGATGAAGAGCCCGAAAGCCTAGCCGCTCAAAGCTCACGATGCAACTTGGAGAGGTCAGTTAAGTCCAGCAGGTTAAACCGAGTTTCTTCTTGTCAGTCTATTCGTCATACAGATCAGGGTCGTCCAAAAGCACTAAGTCAGGTTGCCCTCGCGTCTCCAGGTACATCTTTCTGATATGTGGCGCATATATACGAGACGTCAAGTTTCGCTGATCAGTGTCCGATATTCTTACGGTCTCTCCCAAATCGCACAGGTAGATCAGTTCTTCCCGAAAAGCAATATCCAAGCGCACATGGGAAGCATTGCAGGTTAGCTTCCTGGCTTTTGGGAAATCTACATCTGGATCCATTTTCCACCCGTTGAATAACAAGCCGATATAGGCAAGCCTTTTAAAGCCATGGCCTTGCTCAACCACCCGGATCAGCTCGGCCGCCTGATCCAATATTGGCATTCCACATTCATGAATTTTGTGGCATTCCAGGCTCTCGGGGAGACAGTTGGCAATCTTGGGGGCTCCTTTTACCCTCAGCGGCATTTTAGGGGCGACTGGGTTGCGAGTATCAGGGTCCCATCCGAGCATTCCAGTGAGGGCTTGCATGCCAATCTCAAGCCTCTTCAGCGTACACATTTGACGAAGGCCCATCCCCATGTACAGTCGCTCGGGGCAACCGATCCATTTCCATTCTTTATCCCAAGTCTCTTCCATATTTAGATAGAGGGATTCGAACGTGCTGGCGTGAGGCAGGATGGCATCCATAATGTCTCCCGGCATCATCAGACATGGAGCACCTAGCCACCGATTGAGCCGAAAATGAGAAAACTCGAACTTTCTAAGTGCTTTACAAGCACCTAGCATGCCATCAAGTGTGTCCTTATTTATATAAGAAGCGTGAAGAACAATCTCTTCAACCGACGATGACCTACGTGGCAGGCGTTCAAACTTCCCTGCTATGTCAGACCACACATGGGCCAGAATGCATTCGTAATACCGAAGTCGAGGGAAGGCAAAGAACTCCGGTGCCTCCATTCCGAATTGGGAGTAGCCGCGATTATAGTCCAACGTTTCATGAAAAACATCTTGGAGATTGGAGAGTGGGATGATCATTTTCGAATGAGTAGAGGTACGAATGGACAGACTGATCTCTGCCAAGTTGTGGATGAAACTTAGTAGTTGAGGGAAATGTCTTGGTTGATCGGGTATCTCATATAGGAGTGTGTGGATGTTCGGGCAGGCAAGTAGGATCAGAGCAGCCTGAGCATCAGAAGTGCCACTTTTGAGATCTTCTACCCACTCAACACCCCATCTCTCAGTATACCCAGAAGGTAGCTGACCTAAGATGAGCTCGATATGCTGTTGATATATAGCAATCTCTTCATCAGTTGTTGAAGCTTTGCCATATTTTTCTTGGCCATTATTGACTTCTCCATCTCTTGATGAAATGCGTCCAAGGACAACAGTTCTAACGTTTTTGGCCAGCCAAGGCTTGGAGATGAGAATATAGCGCAGGAACTGTATATTGCGAGTAGTAGAGCATGGCCCTTGCCCCTCGGTTTGGTTTATCGTATTCCGAAAGATAGACACAGAAATCGGAAGTGCCACCTCGTAGAGTTGCTTACAGGTTCTCAGAACCTCTTGAATGGTTGACTTGCCCCAGGATACAGCAAGATGGGAAAAGATCTTGGTCTGGATCTCTGGTGGCAGGGTCAATAAAGTCGGGCGATTTGACCGAACCTGCTCCTGTTGCTCCTTGGTGGATTCAGAAGGTGATATGCGCTGTGACGGCGCTGTAGATTGTGTGAAATGCATGCCGGGAGGTGATACTTCGATGTGTGGTGGTTGAGAACGGAAAATGTTGTGAAGCTTTTTGGTCGTGCCGTTAAGTGGTTCATTAACACGCACTTCGTTGATGTGTATGATGTGGCAATAAAGCAAAGGGATTGTAACAGTACCCTAATGCAAGGTTGGCCTCCAGCCCCTGTTTGCCTCAGGCGGGGCAGCAACATGCAATTTAATAGTCTCGATCTTGATTGTATTCGACGGGTAACATGGGCAAAGAGTAAGAGGCGGGCCGACGGCACTAAACCAAGAGGAAACCTTTCTCCTGTGCGCTTTTGAGGTGGGCAATGTAGCAAGGCGGAATTGGCCTTTCCCCACAAACACAATGAACCTTGTTATGAGATGATTTTGTTTTAAAGGTTGTTATATTATTACAAGTCAACTGGCGGTCTGTTCAACCTGGTACGGTGGTCCTATTGTTGGTCAGCCTACATATTTGTGGAGGCTACACTTGGAGCAGTTATTCGCACGACTCATGCATTAGTTTAGATTGCGGTATTACGTCCGAGTGGGTAGTTGTTCAACATGTTGGTAAGCTCGAGTGATCCGGTGGATGTTCTATGTACGCTAGTTCATGTTGGCTCTCCCCCAGTTCAGTGTTGATACTGCTGAGTCGAGAATTGCTATTTCTAATTATAACGAAAGGAGTTTTGGAATGGGTTAGAGCAAAAACTGCGCTAATATTTTCGAAATGGGTTTGACAGGGGCAGTACTTTGTTGGCTTGGAGTACGTCACATTTGATACTTGCAACTGTAATAGAAGCTCACATTGAAAGGGAGGTATGATGTTGGTGAACATAGGCATAGCACCATGACAAGTATATAAACTAGAATATCTCTCTATTACAACGAGGTTTCTTTGGTCTCTACCAATTCAAGAAAAAGAATTCCGGTTGTTAGAGCTAGTCTCTGTTCTCTTCTCTTCTTCTCTCATTGAGCTGGCTTCTTTCCTTTTTTGTGGTCGCTTTCCCCTAATCTGTTCGGTTTTTCTCGAAATATTCATCATGGGCTTCCCAAGGCAGTTACTTTTTATTGCAGCGGTATTACTTGGTATGACAAGTAAAACCTCTGGTATTCCACTTACAACCGGCAATCTTGCTACTCACATCGAAGGTAGATTTCATGCTAACTCATGATAAGGAAGCCAAAATCGAGGCTCGCAATGACAATGCATACGGCACCTTTCATAGAAGAGAGAAACTTGCGCTCCTGAGAAGCCTATTGATGCTAGATCAAAGAGCTCCTTGTGCCGGCGAAGAAATTGCTGTGGCAGTGGCAGCCCAAAAGACAATAAAAAGTCTTCTACAACTGAAGTCACAAAGGATATCTTAAACCAGGCAGGTGACGCCGCTCGTAACAAGCGCGGAAAGGGAACTCCATCACACCCTGAACCAGTCACCAACCCTGGTCCATTTACACCTCAGGTAAACACAGACACTGATCCAGATCACCGGGCAGACAGGATTGTGTCGGCCATTGATGGCTATGCCAACCACGGGAAGGTGACTTACCCAAGGCCAAATTGGGGCTAATAGAGCTGGACCAGTGGCATCCAGCTAGTACTAGATAGCTCTTGGAATGAATCAAAAGTCTTGAAAGTCATTTTGTGTTAAATATGAACCATCTACGTCACCTTCGATTGCAGTACCACATGCCTTACCTATACTCAGGTCAGCGTTCGGCTGAATAAGGTAGACACATAGTTGGCCGAGCTACACTAGTATTGAAGATAGTCCCGGGAAATTCTAGGAGCAAGGGAAGAACCCTAAAGAAGAACTGCTACTGTGGTTTCTTCTACTCGTGTATTAGAGGGCCTTAGGTTGATGTTTTTATGCTAAAGGACCCAGGTACACTTGACGACGATCATGAGATAAGTTTGATCTACAGGTGGGGGCCACGAAAGCCCAAGAAGGCATAAAATAGCCCCATCGCTTGTTTAGTCGCTCAATCGATCAGCTACATACCTGACTGTCACTTCTGAAGCCCCGTTAGAAGCAATACAATGAGCGTTGTGTGATGAGCTAGCAATAGTAGTCAACATCATGGGATCTGGTGAGTGAGCGTTTATGGAGCTTCTAGAAATGGTAAATGCTCTAGGCAGTGATATATATTTAATGGCTAGGGAGCCCCTTGAGTCTTTGGAGTAATAGGGAGAGCCACTTGGCTGGTTTAATTGTATGTATGCACTTACCATGGTGTGTATTACTCTGCACTGATTAGGGTAGATGACTGTCAGGGTCGAGGTGACATTGATCGTCAGGGGTACGGGAGTGGCGCCAGAGCTTCAACCACAAAAAGCTGGAGGTGGCTGTGCAAAAAGTTCCACCACAAATAAGCATCCCGATCAGTCGTCAGTAGTCTGTTTTCACGTTCAATTATGCGATGGCGATCGAAAATATGCGATTATCGAAGCCGAGAGAGTTCTTGCCGACTAAAATGATAGACCAAACGCTGTGACTTTTCGACAGTGGCTGAAACAGCCAGATGGGAGGCAAAACCTTGCATTCCAATACTGACGATTGCATAACTCGACTTTGAGACTACAATTGTTGATCACCTTTACATTTATGCTGTTACAGCATTGATCACATGTGAGCGAAGACAGGTAGTGGTACTTGGGTATCAAAACCGCACTGTTTATATCAAAGCTATTTCCACCTTAGACTCCTTCAAATTAGAGACGGGTCCGAATATCAGACCTCGCCAGCGGAAGACTCGTCCTGTAAGAAGCATAGACCTTGCCAAATTCCAAGCATTATACACAATCATACCCAGTTCCCTTCTTTTAAATTGCTAAACCAGTAAAGGGGCACTCAATTACAAAGCAAGGGCAGCAGCAACGGCGCCCAGAAGAGCGACGGAGGAGCCGAAGAGTCTGGCAGCAGCACCGGTCTCGCTGCTCTGGGAGCCGGAGGCGGTGGCGGTAGAGGAACCAGAGGCAGAGGCAGAGGCACCGGTGCCAGTGGCAGAGCTGCTGCCGCTGGTCTGGCTAGAGCCGGAGGAACCAGTGGTGGTGGCAGCGCCGTTTGAGGCAGAGTTGGGGGTGCCGCCGTTCTTGTCGTTGTAGTAGAAGTCAGAGATGCACTTGTTCTGGCACGTGGTGTAGGCAGCGATGTCAGACTCGGTGCCGTTGCCCTGGTCACACTTGGAGACACACTCGACGGTCTTGTTGGCCTGGTCGTCGCTGGGGTTGGGGACCTGTTGGTCGATTGTTAGCAAACTAATCTTCCTAGCAAACTGGATACGGCGCCACATACAGGGTTGCACTTGGCCCGGCAGCTGACGTCGGTCACGTCGCAAGCGCTGTAGCAAGCAGCGACAGAGGACTGCTCGGGGGTGAGGGACCAGGTGCTGGTAGGAGTGTCGACAGTGGTGGCGCTGCTGGACTGGGCAGAGACGGCAGCGACGAGAGCGCCAACGAGGATGGAGGTGGAGAAACGCATGGTTGCTGAAGAGCTTGAGGAGAACCTTGAATTAGAAGTATTAAGAGTGAAGATAAATATTGGCAGTGGTAATAGCGAGAGACGTTGAAGCAAACGATGGACAGTTGTGCGTAGGAAAGAGAAGGGAAGCACGCGACGGGGGCCTTGACGGCATTTTAATAACAATCTCAAGCAGCCAAGGCCGGCCTGGTGCCCGTCTGGTCATGAGAGACAAGGCGAGGTACTGGGTACGAGCTCAATTGCCCAAGAGGTGGCCCTGTCAAGTTATGAAGACGTTAATGCAGCATGACTCTAGTTATGCTCGTATTTTGCGGCTGGTTGCCCAAGACCGCCTAGTGCCGCTCTAATTATGCAGATCGGGCCCTTGTAGCATCTGGGGAAACGGCTGAATCCAATTTCCATCCACAAGCCACGATCCAGCTGGCAATTTTTTTTTACGCTCTTCTGCGTTTGGCACTGGCCTGAGCTCCCAGGCCTGCATGATCCGTCAGGGTATTACATGCCCGTTTGCTGTGTCTGGTTGACCGCCAGCAAGCCATTCTGCTAATCCTCGCCCTGAAGCATTTTTTCACCTTGCCCCCTTTCCTGTTCCCCGAGACAAGAATCCTGGCTATCATTAGCAGCAGGTGCCACCTCCCAGCACCCTGTCTGTGCGAGGTAATGAGTCTGGAGTGGTGTGAAGCGCGGGTGGTTGCTCCGATCGAGACCAACTTGTCTTCAAGGCAACGGCCCTTTTCTGATTGGCCACGCGATGTTTCAGGGGGACGACGCGGAACAGAGCAAATCAAATACACGGCACAAAAACAAACAAAACAAAAATACCACCTCCAATTGCTTGCCGGAGCGACGTGCAAATGAAATGCCTGACCATCGCCGACTTGTGCAAAAGTGCAAAGGCCCGGCAGTTCTGAGCTGTTCCTGGGGCGCCCGAGGTACCGTGTACTTTGCAAGGTCCTGGGTATGAGCATGGGCATGGATGGGAATGGGCTTCCGGCAAAGGCTATCTGCTGGCTTCCTCTCCAGAAGGTGAAAATTGAAATGAGACCGGGGGGTCCCGCATGATGGCTTCCTAGTTCATTTACCCATGGCCAGCTTATTTCAAGGCCTGAACCGGGCCTCAGCTCCTGGCCCGCCATCGACGATGCCACCACCAGAGTTAGCCACGGACGGAGGCGACCATGGAGTAGGGAGGCCCGTGAAATCGCCCCAGAGCCACTTATTATTAGCTCCTGTGACGGAGCGATTCAAGAGAGCTTTGATGGTGTTCCTGTGCTAATGGGGGCCATTTGCTTGGCGCGTCTCACGAGTGTGACGCTCGGCGTGGCCTGAATACGAGCTCACCCAGTCCGGATTGCCACTTGAGCTGCCACCGGACGATTTCTGCCTTGGTTGCTCCACCCCTTTTAACAGGTGGTTCCATCCATTATGCTCCCATTTCATGTGACGCTGGCCGTGCCTACATTCAGGGCAACGGCGCCTAATCTCTGTAAACCGGGCAAGCGTCAAGCCTCAACTTGCTAGCTTGCGCCCATCACAGCTAAGAATCCCCCAGTAACCTGACCGAGTTCAGGTAACGTGCCAATTTCTCTCCTCTTCGCCGCAGTTGTAACCGCCTCATCCTGACGCCGCGTTTCGTTATTCAGGCCGCAAATGAATGCAGGAACACTTGATCCTTGTAGACTAGCCTGCTGCTGAATCACCAGAAGTGCTGTTGTGATTGGCGCCGTCCCCTACTCTGCATTCAATCTCGGCCTATGGGACGGCCGCACAGGTACGGTGTTAGCTGGTGTGCATTGCAGCTGCAGAAGTAATTTCATTTCAGCAGATGAATGTATGACAGGTCGCCAAAAATTGGAACTTGCTGTGTACGGCCAGGGCCGCTCAGGGCAGTGAGCAGTGCCGCCCAGCGTACCATTTCGACCTGATGATCGTGCTTGTTGGGTATAGGTTTGTGTTTCAGGTCCAGACTACCATGAAATCCCTTGACCTGTGCTTTGTTTGAGCTGCTGCTGCTAAAGCAATTGTGTAAGGTCCGGCGCGTTATTAACATCTTAGCATCTCATCTTTAGCTCGTTTCTCTGATCGAGATGTATCGAGCTAGCAGTTGCGGCGTCATTAGAGTTGGTTCGGGGAGCCACAATTGCTCTTCTTATTCAGCAGCTTCTCTGAGCTTTCCCATTGGTTGCATCTCAGCCTTCTTATCGGTTGATAATCTCCACGTTCGACCTTGTAAGACAAGAAATTTAGAAAAAGATTGCTTGAATGAGGAGATTAAAGAGCCCACGAAATGAATTGACTCTCATGAATGGAACCACTTCCTACGATAGTTGCGGGAAGCTCTGTCTTGGGATAGATGGACGTTCCCAAATTTTCAATTGGCACGTTGAGATTACTGCTCTCATATTTGCTTTCTAGCTGAGGCCTGATAGGCAAAATAATGACGATAGCGGGGTATTGTTGAGTTGTAAAGCTCAACCCCACCATGAGGTATCGAAAGTCGCAAAGGCGTGCTACCGACTTTGGAGGTCGGCTTCATTTCGATCCCATCCATACTCCGAGTACTCTAAAACGCGCCCAACTCTTCCAATACGTGCATTGAGACTGTCGGAACGGGGTGATTTCTCAAAGAAACTGCCAGACCAGTCCCTCGACGAGCAATCGCATAATGGCTGCCGACAAGATTGAGAATCCCGACCAGCTGGTCGTCTCGGACGACCCAAACCATCCCGCCAACCTCATCCCATCGCTCTGCGCCAAATTCTGGACACTGGGCTGGGTCACTGGCACAGGAGGGGGCTGCTCCATTCGAGACGAGTAGGTCCCTCCCACCTCCCTCGTGCATGCTCGCAACGACATCATCTCCAGAAATGCCGTTTGCTTTGTCCGGAGCCTGTGCTAAGATTGCTTGAACTGCCTCCCTTTAGTGACCTTGTCTATCTCGCCCCCTCGGGCGTCCAGAAGGAGCTCATGAAGCCCGCCGACATCTACGTCCTCTCCCTCGCCGCCCAGGAGCCCACATTCAAGCAGCGCACCTACATCCGGTCGCCCCCAATCTACAAGCCTTCCCAGTGCACCCCTCTCTTCCTCGCCGCCTTCACCCGCCGCGGCGCCGGCTGCTGCATCCACACCCACTCCCAATGGGCCGTCCTCGTCACTCTGCTCCTTGAATCCCAAGGCCCCGGCAACGACAGGGTCTTCGAGATCAACAACATTGAGCAGATCAAGGGCTTCGGCAAGGGCATGAACAAGACCGGCAACTTGGGCTACCATGACACGCTCCGCATCCCCGTGATCGAGAACACACCCCACGAGGAGGACTTGACCGAGTTCCTCGAGGAGGCTATGGAGAAGTACCCAGACACCTATGCTGTGCTGGTTAGACGTCACGGCGTCTATGTCTGGGGCGACAACGTCCACAAGGCCAAGACCCAGTGTGAAAGGTAAACAGCCGCACCTCTCCCATCACCTTGCATCTTTCATTTCGTCCTTTGAAACCTTCTTTCTGTTGATGACCGAGCTGACATGTATGAACAATAGCTTGGACTACCTTTTCCAGCTTGCTGTAGAGATGAAGAAGCTTGGAATCCCATGGATCAGCAATGTGACACCGGTTGGGCCACAGCGATAAAAGAAAGGACGTCTCTCAATCTGATAAAATGTGTGTTTGGGTGCTTGTTTGGTGTTGGTAGGTGGGAAGTAGGTGAATCTTATGTGCGTACGTGAATGTGCTGGGATGCAAGCTTTGAAAAGCGTAGTTTGCCTTATAATTGGATTGTCATATTATTTGACTCTCAAACTTAAAGCTCATCCCGTTCCCTTGTGTACTCTTCCACTACATCGTCTTCCTCCTCATCCTCATCCTCGTCATCTTCGTCGTCATCGTCGTCTTCATCGTCATCGTCCACCTCACCATCATTCTCGGTTTCGACGACCTTCTCAACAACCTCCTCTGGAACCACACTGGCAGAGCTGGTATCTTCTTTTGGAATGGAGCCCAACTCATCTGCTTCCTTGACTGAGTCAACCACTTTCTGCACCTCCTCCATCACCGAGTCGGTGTCCTGCTTGGCAGGCTCTGAGGGTTTCCCTTCAACCTTTGCCGTAGGTAGCTCATCACCCGGGATGCCATCCACAGTCACTCTATGCTCCCCAGTGAAAGTTTCCACTTTCCCAGACTCGCCAACACTCCCCCGACCTTGTAATGCAGTACTTCCAACGGTGGATCCAACCCCCAGGAGAAACCTCAGCGGCAGCCAGACCAACCACCACATAGGCCCGTAGAGGAAGCGCCTAAACACCAACCAAGCCCCAACAATAAGCAGCATGTAGAACGTAGTGACGAGGTACCACGTGTCGCTCTTCTGCGACTTCATGAGCGTGCCCAGGAGATCCTTCGAACTCGCCAGCATGACCTCCAACGAGCTGTACGACTCGTTGAGCTGCTGGAAAGCCGCCGACGACTCCTTCATCGTCTGGTGCGCATAGTCGCTCCGCTCGAGCTCGTCCTGGAGCGAGGCGTGCATCTGCCGCAGCGCGTCCGTCGCCCGGCTGCTCGCCCCCACCGTCTGCTTGTCCTTCTCGGACAGGCTGCTGGTCTGCTGCTGGGCCCGCTGGCCGTACCGGGAGAACTGGTGCTGGAACGGCGGCGGCGCGTCCTTCTCGTCTATCGCGTCGGGCGACGCCGCCTCGGAGACAGAAGCGGAGTAGGATTTGACCATGAGCTCTCGCTCTAGTCGCTGTGCCTGGACGAGACTCTTCTTCGCTGCAAGCCGGGCTTTCCTGAAGCCAATTCGACAACTGGATTAGATAACCGTCAGCTGGGTTTCTTCTTGAGATTCCCCCCTAGAACAATGTAGCGATGTTACCTTTCCAGTTCCTTGCCTTGCCTCTCCACTCCCTGTTGTAGTCTGGTCCGTCCTCCTTCCTCGTCGTCTCTGAGAAACTCGACTTCCTCCAGTAGAAGCTCCTGGTCGTCATCGCCCTCCCTCAGCAGCTGGCTGATCTCCGCGCTCAGCTCGCCGCTCACGCTTCCCTCCTCGTTGGTGTCGAGCGGCACCGAGCCAGGCTGGAATTTGAGATACGTCAGTCGATCGATCAGCTCCCGAAGCTGCGACGTGGTCTCCTGCAGAGCGGACAGCCGCTCCTGCAAACTCTCAAAAGACATTTTTAATAAATCAAGTCCCAATATTATTCCCCCAGGTGTAAAAATCACCACATTTCTTTTCTATGGAAGGGGAACAGAAAGCTAACAGCCGTAGAAGTTGACATGCTGGCCCATCCCTGGCCGGTATGATGGCATTGGCGACTCCAAGAAAAAAACGGGGCTTATTCTTATATCGAGTTTTCCAACACCCGAATTTCCCCAACGCCGCAGAGAACATCGCAAACCACCACGACTCTCTGCCAGCGCCAATTGAAATCAAAACTGCAGTCCTTTTCGTCCTCCCCGCCCGCCAAAATGCTGACCAAGTACCTCACCGAGGTCACCGCCAAATTCAACCCCTTCTCCGCCTGCGCCAAGCCCGCACGGCTCTTCCTCACATACCTCCCGCCTAATGCCCGCGCGAGCGGGATGAAGATCAGCACGACGCTGCTGCCGAGGACGTCGGACGAGAAGAGTTCCCTCCTCGTCAAATTCAGTACGATATTTTCCTTTTGCGCTCTGGTAGATCTCGACGGTTGCTGACATGGCTACAGAGGATGGGAAGGAGCTCAAGTTCGAGACCGACAAGATCAACATCAAGGGTGTGGTGGGCGAGTGCGACCGACACTCACGACAATTACAAAAGGCAGACGACCTGATGGATTAAGCGATGCTCCTAATCATATACTTGCATTTACGGCGTTTCTTTTCTTGGGGTGGAATTGCAGATCGTCGGCATGACCTTGTATAGAGGCGATATGATACACAATGTACAATAAGAGGTTTTGTGGAAGATTTCTTTTGAGTCATGTATTACTATGTGGTGGTCTATATGAAAAATGCCATGATTTTTCTACATTGGTCAAATACTCCAACCCGCCACACTGCCTTTTTTCTTTTTGGTGGACATGAGCTGCTTAGTTGGCAGCACCGCTGATGAAGAACCACTTGTCAATGGAGCTGTCAATCTTCTCGGGCTGGAGTTCCTGGTGAGGAGGAAGAGCAGGGACTTGGTTGGCAGGAATGAAACCGGTGGAGCGGCTGACTGAGGTGTTGCCACTATATTAAAGTTAGTTGACTGGCTTCACGTTAGAGGTTCACTCGAGGACATACATAGAAACACCGTTGCCGGCAGTCTTGCCAGTGATCAGGCGCTCCCAGGCCTCACCGCACTCACGGACGACGTCGAGGGCGTAGCTAGAGGGGAAAAAAGGTCAGTCAAACGCTCTCCATAGGTCAACATTGTAAGGTCATAACATACTCCTTGTTCTTGCACTCGCCAGTGAAGGCGAACTGGTTCTCGGGCTTGCCGTCAGGGATCTTGTAGATACGGAACCACTCGTTGGTGGCACGGAGGAGGCCGGGGAGGTGGCGCTCGACATCCTCGATGTCGTTGAGCTTAGGAGCGAGAGGGTCGTTGATGTCAATGACAATGACCTTCCAGTCGGTCTCCTCCTCGTCGATGAGAGCCATGACACCGAGGACCTTGACCTGCTTAACCTGGCCAGTGTAGCCGACAAGCTCACCGATCTCGCAAACGTCAAGAGGGTCGTTGTCACCCTTGGCCTTGGTCTCGGGGTGGACGCTGTTGGGGTCTTCCCAGGTCTATTGCGCCGCGTGTCAGATCTTGGTTCCCAAGAGCCAATGCCACGGCGTTGGGCATAAAGGATGGGCATTGTTTCATACCTGGGGGAAGGCACCGTAGTTCCAGAGGTAGCCCTTGTGGGGGAAGCAGTTGCGGACGAATCGAAGCTTGCCCTTCTTTATATCCTGCTTGATGGGGTTGAAAAGCTCCTCCTTAGAGATCTAAGAACGTGAAGACGGAGGTCAGTAAGGTGGTTGCTGTGCTAGTGGTGGCGGTGATTTGGACGCCAGCAACGCCCCTCCATGAGTGTAGAAGGGGGGAGAATTGGGTATCAAGGCTGGGGTCGGTGAAGAGCATACCTCGAGCTTGCCATTGGTCCAGCGAGGAATCTCAACGACCATGTTGAGAATGTTCTGCTCCTTGTTGGCGTACAGAGGGATATCGTGGAAGGGGGAGACCGGAATGCCATCCTTTTCAATGTAAACACGGTGCTCGAGGGTGTTGGCAGGAGCCACCTTGCGAAGGGTGTACTCGGACATTGTGTTGGGGTTTTTAGCAGCAGTGGGGGACTGGCTTTGGGATGAGGAGGGAGGAGATGCACTCGATAGGTGACGAGCAATCTGAGAAGTCCTTTGGGAGGAAATTTTGGAGGAGAGTGCAGAGGGGTTTGTAGAAGTTGATGGAGGGGGCGGGGTCATTTTTGTCCTTGCGTGTCCTGGACCCAGTGTTGTACGCCCATGATGGGAGCTAAAGGCCATGGCAACAACACCACTGACACCAGCTGGAGGCGTCCGACTAGCGTTGGCACAGACGCCGCTGGGGCTGCGACTGGGGCTGCTGATACCTGTTGGACGTACAACAGATGCGCTGCGGGTGGTGTGTCGCTGGGCTGGACAGAGCGTGTGATTGGCTCGCTGTGTTGTGAGAGAACACACAGAGAGTGGCCACCGCCTAGTTGCCGCCAATGCTCGACCGAAGCCCATGGAAAATGAGCGGCCGCCGCAGGGAGAACGGAAGGATTCTATAGCAAGCGGAAGGGATGCTTACGATAATACAAAGCTACGGCACGGGGACCTGCAGCATCAGATTCGGCTCGAAGTTGGCCAGTCCCGAGGTAACTCTCGCGCGCTCAGGCTCAACGGCGAGAGATAAAAAAACGAGCCGACAGGGGTCGGCTTAAGGGAAAAGGGGCCCAGCCGGCCGGAGCCTAGGCCTAACAACTCTGGGTCGCACTCTACCGGGGCGCTACTGCCGACAGGTAGCACTCCGTGTAAGCGTTCATCATGTGCCGCGATATTATACAGGGCTTCCGATCAACAAACATACCGCTCTTCGAACCGGTTTGCTTGGCTTGTGCTCTGGGAATTTGATTCGTTTGTTTGAATTGACGTTTGAATTTCTTATTTGATAAAGTAACCTTATTTTTAACGTCGAACCAACTTTTTAAAGAGGCTCGAAAGTGTGATTTGAGTGTTTTCAGATTGCCTCTCTGACCAGCTGAAGACGCTGTTGGGTCCCGTCCGAGTGTGCTGCAGGGGCTGG